CCTGTGTTAATGTATATAAAATAGACCAAACCCGGACATAAGAGAAACCCGGATATAAGAGACTTCTTCTCCGGTCCCGACAACTCTCTTATATCCGGGTTACACCGTAATATTGAATTCGCCAAATTACTCTATGGAAATTAAAAACCTCTCTTTAACTCTGATTTGGGCTAGAAGTCCAATTCCGACTAAAAGACCAATTAGGGTCGAAACGACGATTTGGGCCAAAATTCCAATTCAGGCCGAAAATTGAGTTCTTCAAATCACAAAATCTGTGGAACTTCAATTGAGTCGAATTCTTCAACTTAAAAAATCTTCGGAACTTCTAAACCTCCCGTCACGAAACCTCTCACATTTTGAAGAATAAAATAAAGTCTTCTCATTCTCTTTTACTTTCAGCAATCCATTGCGTCTTAGTAGCTTTATCACCTTGCTTGGGGTGAAATGATAAAAAATTGGTCATTCTAAATTTTTCTAAACTCTGACAGTAAATTAGGTCGATGGCTTTAACGACACATTTGTAGGTCATTCAATGTCAAATATTATTTATATGTTCATTTGATTTATTAGTAGCTTAAAAGACGCACCTGGTGCGGATATTCAAACTAGCTCCTGCTGAGGGGTAATTGGGCCCCCAGCTCAAAAGTAAAGGAACCTATGGTCCAGTTTAGAAAAAAAAGAAAACAATGATAATTTTGAAGAAATAACTTCGAATTCCTCAATTAATACTATGGAACTTCAAATCCACATTTTAACTCTGATTCGGGCTATAAGGCCGATTTGGGGCCGAAAGTTCGATTTGGGCCAAAATTTCAGTTCGGGCCGATAATTGAGTTGAGTTCTTCAAATGACAAACACTGAGGAACTTCAAAACCTAATGTCACGAAACCTCTCACTTGAACTCTGATTTTTTTGTCATTTTGAAGAAAAAAAAATTGATTTCGTTAATTCACAAAATTTTGAAGATATTTGAAGCTGAATTTAAAACATTTTTTTTTTATATTCACAAAGTTTTTGTGTTACTTTAAACTCAATATGATTTTAAAACTTTTAAAATCCCTAATTTTTCTCAGTTATTTTAAAATTCAAATCTTTAAAACTGTCTCCTTCTCATCCAGACACTAATCCCAATACTAGATGTTCAAGCATCAGATGAAAGAAGATTAAAAGAGAAATATGTTTAGACCGAACGATGTCTTTTTTAAATCATGCATGTTTATGGGCAAATACGTGTACAATTGTCCTTTGTCACCTCCATTAAAATTTGTCTTCATGCTATCTCTCCTAATCCCTGTTCTGCCAACCATTTACCCACGCTCGACAGGTGGGTTATGCGTTGCTTTCATCTGTCGCTCTTGTTTTCAATATGTCCTGCGAGTCTCAAAATTTCCAAGCCTTCTTTTCTCTAGATTTTTAATTGTCTCCTTCTGATGTTACGTATGAGTGTACTATTCGTTTCCATTCTTTCTAAAAATTCGTCATTGCACTGTTATGTGGGAACCCACCTAGTCTATAGTTAATAAACTCTCCCACCTATAATAAGTAGGAGTAGTAAGAGTAACGGGTCAGTCAGTGAGTCAGTCTAGTCAGTCGCTCAACTCTTGAACGACAGATCGTTTGAACTCTCTGCCTTCGGGCGGGGAGGAACCCGAAGGAGGCTACGCCGAAGGGTGGATTCTCTTTCGGGGAGGTAAACCGACCCTGAGCCCGTTTATACGGGTTCAATGGGCATATTTTTGGCCGAGCCCACGTTAAAAAGGCCTTGTGCCACATGACGCCCTCGTGGGGGTGGTGACTGAATATCGTCAGTGAGTCAGTCTATGTCGGACGACAGTTAGTCGAATACGAAAGTAGTCAGCGACCACAACAAGATTACTCTGCGTAATACCTATTATATCAAGTTCCTAACGTTTTGTACGTCGAACCTATTTTAGGACCGACTTTGTACAAATACAAGTCCCTACTGTGAAATCACTCCACAACAGCTCATATGTTCAGTCCATGGTATTCTGACCCCCACCCCGTACAACAAAATTTAAAAACAAAAAAACAAAACAAAAAAAAACCCAAAATTTATGTTGCCTCGGGTTCCTTTTTCATCTGTGATGAGATTATCTAGCATCGACTACTATATAGTGTACCGATATTACAGATGAAAGAATTTCAATACTGGGATAATCCTGGTTCCAAAAAGGCATAATATGTCTACGTAGAGCAAGTGTGGCCCGAATTAGAGGGTTTCAGACACACAGACACACAGACAGAATTTGCCGTTTATATATTTAGATTGTAAGCATTGTACATGCATTTTAAATGCTGACGGTAGACAAATCATTTTCTGAGATCAGGTGTTATCATTATCTAAATGCAAACTATTGTCCTCATCTTTGTTTTTGCTATCACAAAGTTTCGAGATTTTGTGTCCTATGGCCTATATCTGTTGCTTAGCGATAATCTTCAGGTACTATTTCAAACTGAATCATTTATTAAATCCACACGGGTAGATTGTTTTCGTTCCACTAAGCATGTCGAGGGTTATCTCGTCTGGTTCTTACTTAATGGAGAACACTCCAGTCGTTTTTCGATGTATGAGGTTTCGGTAGCTCAATTGTTAGAATCAAATCAGTCAGATTACCCGCACATATGATTTGATTATAGTCGTGAAGGTTGAGCAGCACCGGCCACACTTCTTGGAAGAGCTAAATACAGGGAACTGGTGCACAGCGTGCCACAACATTTCCAAATGATCCTCTTTGTTTTGGAATTCACAGCTGTCCTTCTCATAGTCAGGTGCTACACAAGTCTATAGAATCCAACCTGTCCTGTTATTTACCCATAGCTTAGGAAAGATATTTTCTTACCGTTACTGAGGGTATTAGCATAAAAGTGAATATAATGAACACGACTGGAATTCGAACTCAGTACTCCGTTTCCACTATCTGAGCCGCTATCCCTGTCTAATTTGCTTATTTAATCCTGCTTAGTTATTGCTTGATCCGTTTCTAATGAGCCCAAGTCTTTACTTCCTCGACCAGGGATTGAATTCACAATTACTATGTCACGAAATTCGCGGTTCAAATGTTTAATCTGCTAGACACTGTGGGTGTCCGTGATTTTTGTACGATATCAATTTCTGTAACTTGGAAATGAATTTGGAAACAATCGAAATTTATTGCGAAATCCAGCGAAAGTCATCCATGAAATAAAAATAATTGTTTGTATGGAAAATAAGGACCTACGTACGCCAAATTGTCTTTAAATTAAACGGCGGCAGAAGAATTTACGTTGAACTTTTAAAAGGTATAAATATAATAATTAATTAAATATTAATGCAATGCTTAAATGCAGCGATCAATTTTGAGTTCTTCCGTAGTATATTGTTGCCTATTGCATATGGCATTATTATACCTCTCAAAAAGAAAGCTCAGCTAACATAGGATTGCAATCAAAAGAGCCGAGGCTGCAGCGAGGAAAAGAACGTCCCGTACAAAGGAAAACTCAGATCAAACGGCAGCCAGGACAGCTGCTAATGCAGAAAATATGCAAAAAAAAAAAAAACTCAGGGACTTTCAAACTCCTGAACAAGTCGAAAGCTGAACTAAGAGCCCTAGGCAGGAGCTAGTTTAAATGCTGCTGGATAGGGTGGCTTTTAAGCTAGTAACAAATATAACGAGTCTCGGTCGCCTTAAACACGCCTTAAAATCGATCAGGTTTAATTGTATTTGTTCCGGGTTTTGGGGGCGAATTTTTTTTTCTGTTCTTCGCGGTAAGATTAATCATTATTAAAAGGGAATCGACACGAGCGTAAACCATAAAAAATCTTTTCGCCATTTTTCTTGAACACGTGATTCACCCACATATCGTCCTCCCTCAATCAAAAAAAAAAAAAACAACTTTATAAAAAAAAAAGCTCATTATCACACCTGAATAATTTTCATCTAGTATTTAGATATTCCGAACAAGAATAGGCTGGGGCGTTTTTAAAGAGATTTCCCTTTACCTGATTCAGCTGATTAGTAAGCAGAAAAGAAATTCTAAAAAAAAAAAAAAGAAAATAGGAAAGCATTATCAAATAATGGGCGGTGCCAGTGACACATGTCTATTTGGTTGCCATTTTGAGTGTGGGTGAATTGAAAACAGGTCGTTACATTATGGTGTTGTGTAGGGTACCATATCAGCCTGAGAATCTTGAAATAGAACTGTCGTCAGGAAACATGCTTGTATGATTTCATGCGCTAATTGACCGCCCATTTGGTGTCTCTGTTTTAATGTCTGCAAGACTATGGTCACGGAACACAAAGCAAATATTAAAATAGTCGATTGGTAAAAATTGACTTTCAGAATAATTGTTTTGTCTCTGGTTAGTGTTCAGCATTTTCTTCGGCGTCAAATGGAAGGACCGAAGCACCATCGATGAAGTCATCAATCGGTGAGAAATATGCTGAGCATTGAAGCTGACATACTCACGCATCGTCTCAGATTGGCAGGACATACCACCCGAATGGCCGTATCAAGATTCCAAAGGACCATCTTTTACAGCGAGCTCGTCAACGGCAAACGACATCGCAGTACCCCTAAAACGCAAATTCAAAGACCAACTGAAGTCTACTGTGCTTCAAACCGGAATCAGCGCTAACACCTGATAGTGTAGAGCAATTTATTTCGGTTTTTCCACATTTGAGTAGAGGAGAAAGACTGAAGAGGAAATAAAAAGAAGGCAACACAGGACCCACCACCTCCAGCCAACACCATTACTTGGCATCGTCGAGGTACCGGATGAACCAAACACAGACTAAAATTATTACCCGCCCTACTATCCGACCAATGCCCGAGATTGTTCCATTCCCGACTTGGCATCGTCGAGGTACCGGATGAACCAAACTCCATCAAATCCATTAACCACCCTACCATGCGATTACTACTCGAGACTGTTCTATTATCGATTTGATCTGCTTAGTCATCTCTTGTTCAAGAATTGGTGTGTGTGATATTGTCAGGTCCTAGCGCTTAAGGTCTGTGCCGCTGGAGAAAGGCTGGATAGAAAAGACAACGCAGGGTCCGCTAGCTCCGACCAAAACTATCAACGGCCTACCAATACCCGAGATATTTTCATTATTGAATTCCCAACTTCACTTCCTGTCAAGTTCAAACATCGTGAAGGCACCGAATGAACCAAATCCAAACACGAGTGCTGCCGACGACAACGCTTCGGCCCATTGTCCGTCGGTCATCTGGACAGTCATAGTATTGCTGATCGTTTGTTTGTGTATGATCATTCTTTTGCTAACTCCGCCTACGGTAGACTGCGCACTAACCTGAAATAGTTAATGCTGGTCACATGTAACACACCAGTTTGAGACTGGTTGCTAGTGTGATCCGCTAAAATTCCATTACCAACTTGGCCTCGTAGAGACACTGGATAATCCAAACTCGGACATAGATGGTGCTGGCAACGACGATTGATCATCATAAGTGGACGAAGAGCTATGGTTGAAAATCGATAAAATTCTGAGATGAATCATCATATGATTTATACATATACTTATATATATTTATACTCTTTCCACGGTATATTGTTTTATTTTCACCCTTTTCTTCTCTTTTTAAATTTAGGTACATTTTAGATTGTTACCGATTGGCACAGCATCCTGTTTAGTTCTTACTAATCACTAGAACCGACAGAATAAACAATAGTGTCAAAGACCGTAGTTTATGCTTTCTTATCCTCGTAAATCTAACCTCTGTGATCGCCGTTATTTGATAACACATGTTCGTTTGCAAGGCATTTTGAGAGTAGATAGATTTAGAAACGGTCCTTGGGTTATGAGACAGCATATTGGCCTAAGAGTTTCTAAATGGAATAATCAGCAAGAGACACTGGTCGTCTTTCGCTATATATATATATATATATATATATATATATATATATATATTGAGAGAGAGAGAGAGATACATACATACATACATATATACATACGAACATGCTAATATGTAAACATTCTAGATCGATAGATAGATAGATAGATAGATAGATAGATAGAAACATACTAATATATAAACAGATAGATAGATAGATAGATAGATAGATAGATAGATAGATAGATAGAAAAACCCTAAATCAGAAACTGGCTTCGCGAGATAGATAAATAGACACGTACATGCATACATATATACATACATTCGAACATGCTAATATATAAACATTCTAGATAGACAGATACATGTATACATACAAACATGCTAATATATAAACATTCTAGAAAGAAAGAAAGAAAGAAAGAAAGAAAGAAAGAAAGAAAGAAAAACCCTAAATCAGAAACTCGTTTAGATAGATAGATAGATAGATAGATAGATAGATAGATAGATAGATAGATTCACTCTATGGCGTACACCGTTCGGACGTATTTTTAATAACACTTCATTTCCGAGCTTTGCACAACGTATCCTCTTCGATGTGCATTGTCAAAGCGATCAACTCTTTTCATCTGAAAATATCTATTTGCCACGCCAGTACCTTCGTTCTTTTTCCCAGTGTATTTCAACATCCAGTATCTTCTGCCTTCTTTAAGTCTTATCGCAATTTTTCTGACAATGTATTCTGGCAGAGACCGATAGTTAAGTCATAAAAACTATTTTTTAAAGTTTATTATTATTATTATTTGGACTGAATTACATAAAAGCATTGTTAAACTTATATTTGTTTGTATGATCTTTCTTTTATTACGATTATATTGTTCTGAAAGGAAAAAATAATCTTTGGGTGCGAACTTCAACAGATATAAGTACATCAACGTTGATTCGTGGTGATGTTGTCGGAGTTAACTCCTCCTTCAGTTCGTAACCCTTTCACCAGGGGTCTCTCTTTCCTGGCTATAAATAGCCGCTGACCCTTCACCTCGATCTCTTTTTTTTCCCTTTCAGGCCTGTGCACTGACACCTTGAGGTAATCTCTCTTATTCCTAGAGGATTTCAACTATCAACCTCGAAATGTAGTCGCTAACAAGGACTAGCGTGGAATCACGCTAAGCACAATATACACACACGCTCGCACACACTGAAATATTCACACACACTTCGTCCTTTGTACTGTTTCCCTGTATTATAACTTGTTATGAATATATATTTGTGTATACATATATTATCGGTCTTGTTTTGTTTGCTTTCTTTACCTTCTTCTTTGGACTTAATCAAAGTTCAACCTTTTTATGTAGTTGGGCTCGGCGGGCAGGAGTATCTGAACCTTACATGCGTTTCTTCTATGTCTGACTTCTATCAACAACATAACAGCCACGCCATGAACCCTCAACAAACCGTAACCGCCAACGGGCCCACTACAATGTCACTGAATCATATAAAAGTTCGGATCTATCAAATAGCGGAAGTAGAAATACAATTTGAGGTGGGCAGGTGTATCAGGGTCTCATTGAGAGCCTGATTTGGTCAACCAAGAAAAGAGGTGTCAAACTGGAGTTTCTGAATTCTCCGATGATTCCGATTATAAAGCACCATTGACGACACCCCCACCAACGTTTCGGAAAAAAAGCGTTATTTTGCTAACTACTTTCACGGGGGTGGAGGGTGGAAATAGATAGCGGCTCGGATTGAGGAATCGGATAGCTGGGTTCGAATTCCAGTCAAATCAATTAGATCCACTTACGTGCTAATAACCTTGGGAAAGGTATGAATATTCTTACTCGCCAGCTATGGGTAAATAGGACAGACCGGGTGTCTATAGCCTTGGATCGCAGTTGATCTACCGCAGAAAGAAATGGCAACCTACTGCGGGAAAAAATCTGCCTCGTCAGTCATGTATCGAAAGATAAATGATCGCCTAAGCGTGTATCACGCATGGCACATAACTGACTGAAATTTACTTACGTGCTAACACCCTTGGGAATAGGTATGGATCCTCATCTTCTACCCCCCTCAGCTATGCGTAAATAGCAGGATAGGGTTCTATAACCTTGGATGGCAACTGTTCTACCGATAAAAAGAAATGGCATTCTGCTGCGAGAAAAAAAATCTGCCTCGTCAGTCATGTATCGAAAGATACATGATTGCCAAAGCATGCATCACGTATGGCACCTAACTGACGGAAATTTACTTACGTGCCAATAACCTTGGGAAAGATATGAATCCTCTTCTTCTCTCCGCCCCCAGCTATGGGTAAATAGCAGGACTGACTGACTTCTATAGTCTTGGACGGCATCTGGTCTACCACAGAAAGAAATGGCAACCTATTGTGGGAAAAGATCTGCCTCGTCAGTCACGTATCGAAAGATACATGATCGCCTAAGCGTGTATCACGCATGGCACATAAATGACTAAAATTTATTTACGTGCTAATACCCTTGGGAAAGGTATGAATACTCTTTTTCTCCCTTTATGGGTAAATAGCAGGACAGACCTAGTTCTATAGCCTTGGATGTCAACTGGTCTACCGCAGAAAGAAATGGCAACCTACTGCGGACAAAAAAATATGCCTCGTCAGTCAGGCATCGAAATATACGTGATTGCCTAAGCGTATATCACGCATGGCACATAACGGACTGATTTTCACAAAATGCACACGTCTATTACGCTGACCCTTTATAAAATATTTACAAAACAGCGACATCGTTAGTGACCAACACGAGATTAATATCTGCTGTCGTTCTTACAACTAATTGGAAGGTTCACCAGCACTTTTAATGGCATTGTCACCGACGTTTCTATGGCGATCGGAATGAATCGAATATCGATCAGGGCAAGGGAGAAAGTGGTGGTGGTGGTGGTGGGGAAACAACAAATAATGGAAGATTGATGAATGGGCGAATTTACGAGGACCTGTCGCAGTCGCTTGACGAAGCGTTCGTTTTTTATTTTCTTTGCCTTTTTTTTTTGTTCTTTTGCACAAACGTATTTTGAATACCAGTTAATAGAGAATAAATTGACACGTGTGAACATATGTAGACAAAGGATAACTAATATCACACACAGACACACACACACAAACAAACATATATATATATATATATATATATATATATATAAGGATATTAAAACAACATGTAAAATTCGCTACGCAATTGCAGTCGTGTTTCAACATATATTAATGCGTCTCCTCAGGCGATTGTATAGCATTATAACCTTTTTTTTCCGAAAAATCGGATGTATTTTGCTTTTGAAACCAAATTAATGGTCCACTCGCCAGTAATTTACAATCGCCCGAGGAGACACATTGGTATGTGTTGAAACGTGCCTGCAATTGTGTAGTGATTGTTACATGCTCTATTAATATCCTAAAATAAATAATATTATAACATGGCTCCATTTTATATTGAGCCCTCTTTTAAATTAAATGTACGGCCGTTAGAGTTGTACTCGATCGTTCTCATCTTATATATATATATATATATATATATATATATATATACACATAAATACAGTGTAACCCGGATATAAGAGACGCGGATATAAGAGAAACCCGGATATAAGAGAGATTTTCTCTGGTCCCAAATTAGAGCCTGTGTTAATGCATATAAATTAGACCAAACCCGGATATAAGAGAAACCCGGATACAAGAGACTTCTTATCCGGTCCCGACAACTCTCTTATATCCGGGTTACACTGTATATATATATACATACATACATACATATATATATATATATATATATATATATATATATATGTGTGTGTGTGTGTCTGTGTGTGAAAAGTGTATATGAATATAAATATATATATATATGTATAATTATTTATATATTATATGCGCGGTACTTATTAGAAAGCGCTCAATATCAGAGATAGAGCTAACATCTTTCTAACCGAATATATATATATATATATATATATATAAAGAAAGAAAATCTATCTCAACCGACGCGTTTTGTCCTCTGAAGGACTTTATCGAGGCAAATTTGTTTGATAAAGTCTGCCAGAGGACGAAAATCTTCGGTTAATATGAAAGTTTTCCTTTTGCCTTTTTTTATATTGCCCTTTACAGATGCACTTTATCTGAAATTTGACACACACTGCACACACACACGCACACGGACACACACAGAGACTAACACACACACACACACACACACATATGCATATATATATATATATATATATATATATATATATATATATATATATATATAAAAAAAATTAATAGATTTATTTTATAGTGGTTACTTCGTATTTTAAATAGATATTCCATTTTGCTTTATTAAACAGTTTTATTTCTTATATCGGTCTGCACATTCGAGTAATCTAAATAAAATCTAAAATAAAACTGTGACCTCTTTTTAGGGGAATCGAGCATTTGACAGGCTTTACCGCTCGGCCCCGAGTGACATTACAGTAGGCAAGTCTTTTTTTTGCCCTCTAGCCCACTTAGATTATTCTTCCCGAAAGCACATATCGGCTTATTTTTGTATCCGAAACGTAGACAATGCAAATTATAATTTCAGTATATGCCGGAGGACATATTTTCTTAAATTTCTTAAATACGCAGACCGATAGACACTAATTCTTCATATATATATATATATATATATATATATATATATATATATATATATATATATATATATATATATATGTATTTGTTGGATAGATGTGAGTTTGTGACCCTGGGTTTCACGCTTTTGCGATCGTCAGGCAAACTGATTAATTTTTTAGAATTTTGGGTTTATGTTGATTGCGTGTATTGGTGTTATTGTGGGAGTCGGGGGGGATTGTCGTCGTGATGTCACTCATGCGAACGCAAACATAGATGCATGTGTATATATATATATATATATATATATATATATATATATATGTTTATATTAATATTTATATGCACACACTTTTCACACATACACATATATATATATATATATATATATATTCAAATTAAATAACTGTCAGTATCAAATCTGAAGATTACTTTTGACATGAAACTCTTAGTTGTGAAAACTCATTTATATCATATTATATATATATATATATATATATATATATATATATATATATATATTGTTATCCACAGTCAGCCTGTTTCGCTGTTATACATCTCATCAGTGTGTCTAGACATGGGTTGCTTTAAGACGGGATCGAAATCTCCGACTGATGCAAAATCAGTCGAAGATTTTACCCTGAGCTATCATCGCCCGCTAGAGAGGAAAGCGAAATTTTACGTACCTATTCTTCGAATAATCACGCCAATAACGGATAGAAGAGCTTTACAGTATTAGCGGTAGCAGTCATTTATATATATATATATATATATATATATATATATATATATATATATGCATTTATTTACACTACTCAGAGTTTCATGCCAAACGCAATCTTCAGGTTTTATATTGACCATTATTTTAATAACGATATCAGTTCATCGTAATGCTAGCGTAGTTAAGCTCTATTTATATACTGATGTAATCATTTCTAAAACCTTTAAAATAAATTATTTTAAAAAATTTAATTATATTTCACATGACATTAAATCTAGAAACGAAGCCAA